CTCTTTAGATAACTGCAAAGCCCATTATAAATGAAGAAAAAAAAAAGAAGCTTTGCAGCACACAGGAAAAAGGAAATGCTTTGGAGATATGGTCTCATATGTATAATATGCTGAGCCATGACATCAGAGCAGTTATTTTTCCCTAAGGTAAATGTCTTATGTTACAAATTCTTCCCTTTCCAGAGGCCTCAGGCCCCACAGATGTTCAGATAACAAAGCACTTGAGTTCTCAACACCCAAGAGGTCTCTAGGAGTTCTATTTCTATACTGTGCCTACAGCCCAATCAATTTCTGGTTTTCTTTCTGTATTTGTTATCCTCTTTTACCTGTCAGAAGCATCTCCCTCTTGTGTTTCTCAAAACAGTTGATGCAGCTTTAAAAGCTGAGGTGTGCCCTTGCAGCAGATCTTTTGCTCGCTTCTACTTCTGCTGTAGTCAAGTTTCTATCCTGTGCTGGGGCCAAATTTCCAAAACATGTCCAGTAAGCAGTCAGTTCCCACTGAGAAAAATACCTGACATTGATCTTCAGCCTGACAGTAAGATCCGATAAAGGAAGGTTCAAATAAGCACAGATTCTTTTGGGATCTCCTAATCAGAAATCACTTTCTGAAGAGTTCATATGGTACTGCCTGACAAGAAATTTTAGATGTTCCATGACCTCTTCCCCCATGTTTTTTACAAATAAAATTCCTTAAGATCAAATACAGGGTAATGCGTATTAGTTACAGTATTTATTACATAGGAAATAAACTGAATTAAGGGGGAACATAACTACCTCAACAAGTTACCCAGCATTTGCTCTGTAATAATAGATGAAAACAATTATACAAAGACATTACATTAGAGTTAATATCTTAAGTCACAAATGACCACTGAGCATACATAATTTAAGCACAGCCTCTTTTAATAAGGTTGCTGCTGATTTCCAACATGAGAGTGGGATTGTCCAGATGAAAAAGCTGTTAAGAATAAATACCACTCTTTTATATAACTGAGTGAATTGCAAAATCAATTTTAAAGGAAAACTCAGAATCTGCTATCTATATTGTTTACTATTAAGCCACACAGTAACGGAAATAAGCGGTCATGTCCGGTTTTGCTTACTAAATTTAACTGTTATTAAGGTTATGTAATTAAGTGTCATGCTTACAATATAATCAATTTTAAATGAAATAGTTAATACCAGTTAACACGTTCCCGTGTATTTCTCTATACTTACTATAGGAAGTAATACATATATTGACGTAATGAAATGTCAGCATATCTTAAAAATAACTGCAGCATGTGTTTCTGCATTATAGAAAAAGTATCATACCTTGATAATATAATACTTGTGTATATATCAGAAAATTCAGACATCAGAGATATACCAGAGTGTATTTGGAAACACATAGCTAGAAAGTAAGCCCACTTCTAAGGAATGCTTATGTGAAAATAGCACCTTTCTATAAAAATCCAGTATTCACTTGCAACAATTATTCTTCTTAATGTTAGTCAAAATACAAAGGGGATCATGTTGTGCAGTTATTTCACATTTTCACAGATGTAAATATATTATGACAGAAATTACAATACAAAAAGAAATGTTAAATATATACTTCAGTTGAAAACACTTACTGGTGTAATGCACTTTCAGAACTGACATAATGTACCTAACCAACCATTTAAAAGTAAAGTAACACTTTAATACATACAATTAATCTCTACCTGGCTTTACACCTAATATAATTCTGATCAAATGATTTTCATGCTTGTGGTCCTAAACTAGACCAGACTGTTTTTTAAATGAATGATTTTTACAGAACTCCATAGCTGAAGCTTATAATCTGGCCCAGGGAAAAGCAGTTTTGAAAAAAAGTGTAAGACTTGCAATTACTATGAGTAGAAGGTAAGAGTGTTCACCTAAGGAGCTGCATAGCACACATAGGAAGTGTGAGCTTCTAGGTTTACTTACGACAGAGACTTCATATTGGCCCCAGACCAGAGTATATTTAGATTATTAATTATCATTTCCACCAAACATCCCAATGGAATGCAAAGTTTTGTCTCATTCTTCTTGCCCGTCTTTATTCAACTGACAAGCATTAATGGTTATTCCATTAAGTAGTGCAGAATACAAGCTACTATGTCATCTATAGGCTGTTGGTGCTGGTCTCATCTTCTTGGTGCTAGTCTCATCTTCAAGGGAAACTTAAGAAGAAAAGGATATAAAGGATGTCAATAAATTATTAAGCTGCCAAGAAAAAGATGCAGATATGTGACACATAGTATCTACAAGACAATACTGTAAAGCCTGGGATGCTGGTTTCACAGTAAACATCAAAAGTCTGTTGATTAACAAAAAAGAAAGTGAGGGTCATTCTATACGAAAATGGGAAATTTTGAGATTAGGCACATAATTATTCAGTTTGACAGTACCAAAATGAATGTTTGTAAGGAATTTTGTTGGATAGCTGTCAATTTACCCCACACCATATGAGACAACGGTACAGAAAACTATATACTTTCTGGCACCATAGAGATAATTTCAGAAGATATGGAAGTTATGGCAGTGATCTAGTTGGAAACAAGAGGTTTGCCAGTTAGTGATAAAGCTGAAAGTACACATGAACAATTATTTTCCAAAACAAGAAAAATAACTGTGGAAAAATTCAGCTGGATTTCCAGTTGACTGTAAGCCAGCTAATGGCTTGATGCTGCACTGATTTCAATATGTTAGAGGGGTACTTCCAAAGTTTTTATTAAATGCATGAGTAAAAAGACTTTTTAGAACACAATGTGTCTGGCTTACTTTGAAAAACAGAAAGCAGCCTGACTTTTTAGGAAGCAAGAGATACATTCCACAAAGTAATATATTGCAGTCTAATGGAATCATGCAAGACAGCAATTAGTAGAAATAATGGAGTGATCCTATGAATACAACTTGCCATACTTACTACCTTGCAGGTCCTGTGTTTCATTCATTTGTCAAATTCTTGCTTCATGTGTACTTCATTAAAAGCTCTTAATTTAATTTTCACCTGTTTATGCTTTCAACAACTTCACTTTCTCACTGAGAGTGCTCCCATGACATCAGGTGCTAAATAAGATCTTCAGCTTAGTAACAGAAAGATCTTTTCTCACTAATACTTTCAATAACTCACCTTGAATGGCAGGCCTAGTGTGACTCATAGACATTCCTGGGACCTTAAATGAGTTGAACTCATCTCTCAGGAGAAGCAATAGGACTGTCTTTGTCTGGGCACAACAGATAGAATCATTCATCAGGAATCTTTGTAATATGCCTTACTTTTCCCAAAGCAACTAATCTGCCTCCCTTTGCTTCAGACTTTATCAGAGCAACTTGGTCAAAACTATTAGAAACTCATACAATAATATCTACAATCAGTTCAGACTCAGCTGCAGAATTATTTTTGGCTCGTAAAGGAGAAAGAGCTAGATTACCAGTCCCTTCATCCATGATGACTGCAACTGATTTGGCAGCTCTAACTAGACTTTCAAAACTAACCTCTCTGATAACCCCCTGAAAATAAATTTTTCTAGCAAATAAACTAGCAAATTTTGGCTGCCTCTAAATGAGCAGGATCCAGATTTCATTGTACGAATATCTTTGTATGGAAATCTCTTGACCTATTTACATCTCCATTTCTGACTCAGATTTCTGTTTGGTGGTTGTGATTAAAAAGGAAATATGGCAATCGTGTTGTATTAAGATAAATTAAACTGTGCACTTTCCCAAGTAGGCCTTTTGTGGGATATCTTTCAACAGGAAGACGGGCCCATCCATCACTTGGAATTGCAAATGCGTTTTAAAAGCTTCATTCTCTCTTATAATTTAAAATTTCATAAATGGTTATTATGGGTGTGGTTAGAGTGGCAAAATGCTGTCTCCTTATGTGTGCAGAGCTGAAGCACTTGAATCTACAAGAGTCGCTAGTTCTGAAAGACTGGCAAACCCTGAGTTAAACTCCAAAACAACTATCAGCTTGTGAATAATCACATGTATCATTGAATTGCTAACTAATATATATACTACAGAATATGATATATAAATATATATAAATATATAATAAAATACTCTTGTTTATTTCTGTGCCTCAGCTTCTCTCCCCTGTATTACCTCAAGAGCATCAAATTAATCAAAGTTTTATTCTTCATTTATACAATTTTAGGCATAGTAATATTACATACATTTTTAGATGCGAAAGAGAAAATCGCCTTCTATTTCAGTACATGGGGTATTTGCATTGTCACAGTACATTACATGGATTTGATGCTTAACATATAACTGTACTAATCTTTCTGGCAAACATAATAACAAAAGAAAGTTGTTTGGAGATTTTTCTATTTTTGTTTTAAAAAATAACAAAAACCTTTCCATTGAAGGACCACATGTAAAACTTTGGTTTGTCTACACAGAGACCAAGGCTGCTTATTACCTACAGTATACTAGCTATGATGAACAGACCACCATAGTTGTGACAACTGATGTTGCTGCCTCCAGGGTAAAACAAAGGTTTACATATTACACAAGCAATTTAACTGTTTTCTAAACATATTGCCAAGACAGTGGGAGTTGGCAGCCAGCACTGTGTTTTAGGTTTTGGATACTTGGATTAGAAGTGACTGCTGATTATAGACCTTTTTATTTGTCTTCTACGAATTACAAGCAACCTAGTAACCCAGCAAAGAATCCTTTGCAGCACTTAAACTTGTCTTCATGGCTTCCCAAAGATTACATACACAAATCACTCCACAAAAGTGGCGTAAGAGACTTGTGCATAGATAACTGCATAAGACAATTGTCTTGTTCTAACTCTTAAAGACTTCCCCAAAGTCAAATGTTTTATAATCCTTTTTGTGCAGTAGTCAGGAAAGAAATGAAAGAGTTTGGGCAAAGATTATCCACAAGAAAGAAACTTTTTTTTTTGGGTTCCAGCTGAAACACAATAAAGAACATAATTAACTTCACAATTCTTTGTGTTTTTCATTTGACTGCAGGGAGGAGATGAAAGAGGACTGTTAAGCCTTGCATTCCATCCCAATTACAAGAAAAATGGAAAGCTGTATGTGTCTTATACCACCAACCAAGAACGGTGGGCTATTGGACCTCATGACCACATCCTTAGGGTCGTAGAATACACAGTATCCAGGTATCACTAGAAGTCTAAAATTCAGTAGTTTTGTGTTTTTAGCAACCTTTTCATTTTAGTATTTCCCATTGTTAAAATAAATTATCAGATTTACAATTTGTATATACTTGTACACTCGCAAAAAATTATTGCTGCTTTTATTTCAAACAGTAGCTTTGGAATGGCAGTATGTACACAAGTTTATTCTTTTTAAGATCTTGTTGTTGTAGTTATTCTGTCATTTTTAAATTACAGTTATTCCCACTTACTGTCAATAGGCAGCAAAATATTTTTCTGTGAATGCTGGAAAAATGAAAATTCTCAGAAATAACTGTTTGACAATTTTTTACCAAGTTACAACACCCACAACTTAAAGTATAATTTGAACGACTTGAGCTTATTTTTAGGAAGAACAGTATAGTAAACTATGACAACTTTGATAATCTTTCTATTGCAGGAAAAATCCACACCAAGTTGATATGAGAACAGCAAGAGTGTTTTTAGAAGTAGCAGAACTACATCGAAAACACCTAGGAGGACAGCTTCTGTTTGGCCCAGATGGTTTCCTATATATTTTTCTTGGAGATGGCATGATCACTCTAGATGATATGGAAGAGATGGATGGTTTAAGGTACAAAAACTACCAATGGACAGACTTCTATATTGTCTTTAGGTTTTGTACACTATTTGGGGTAAGAATCAAAAGTGATCAGCAGTTGCCAGGGCAAATCCTACTCCTTCTTCCTTTACTACATAATCATACTATTTTCAGTGCCTGAGTTTAGTTAACTGCTGATTTTCAGAACAGTCTTACTGCTTAAATACATTTCCTTGTAATTGTGTGCTATCAACCCATCTAATTGCACCTACAGCATTTAGATGCAATTGCATTTAAGCACAGATTAGACGTCTTTTTTACAAATTCTTATTCTATGAACAAGGCACCTGTATGTGCCTACAGACATACCAGTCAATAACAACATACCAGTGACAAAAATGGCTAGAAAACATAGGAAGGAATCCTACTTTGGTTCTACCTATACAATTTGCTCAACCTGCTTTTTCCCTTTGTTTCATTGTGCTCTCTTAGAGTTGCATCATTTGCCTTAATTTAGAGAAATCACAGTACTGGGCCTTTACAGACTTAAAAGAAGTTGCTATGCTCAAAGGCCTTTTTGGCTTAGCAGAATAGCAGGTACTCCGGCCCTTTGCAGTGAGAATGTACTTAAAACCAAGACCAGAGAGCAATTCTAATACTTGACTTTCAATTAATGTAAAGCAAGGGTAGACTGAAACATATTCATAATGAAGAAAGAGAAAAAATCAATGTAAGTACAACATCTTTTGAAGCTTGTAAAATAGAGTTTTGGCACTCTTCTTCTATATTTCTGTCCTTCTCCCTCCATTACAATCATGAATGTAAGGCAAATCATATTAACTGTGTCCTATTTCATGTATCAGTAAATACCAACATCTCCATTTAACCAGTAACCATTACTTTCTTGTTTGTTGGGGGTTTTTGTTTGTGTTTTTTTTCTGTTTGGTTGGTTTTTTTTAATTCATAGAATCATAGAATAGTTAGGGTTGGAAAGGACCTTACGATCATCAAGTTCCAACCACCCTGCCATGGGCAGGGACCCCTCCCACTAAACCATGTCACCCAAGGCTTCATCCAACCTGGCCTTGAACACTGCCAGGGATGGAGCATTCACAACTTGCCTGAGCAACCCATTCCAGTGCCTCACGACCCTAACAGGAAAGAATTTCCTCCTTATATCCAATCTAAACTTCCACTGTTTAAGTTTTAACCTGTTACCCCTTGTCCTATCACTACAGTCCCTAATGAAGAGTCCCTCCCCAGCATCCCTATAGACCCCCTTTAAGATACTGGAAGGTTGCTGAGGTCTCCACGCAGCCTTTTCTCCAGGCTGAACAGCCCCAACTTTCTCAGCCTAAAAATTCATGTATAATTAATCTTTGGATTGTACTGTGACTACAGATCATTGAATTAAGAGCAGCATTCAAAGTGTTAGCAAAAAGCATTATGTAACTTTATAGTGATTATGCCCAGAATCACTCCAGAGGATAAAGAGTGTAGAAGAGTTAACAGCCTTATATTTGAAGCCATAAAACAACAATAATGTATGGAAATTTGCTCTTGTTATCAACATTGCTTCCCAACAGCATGGTCAGAGGCATTCTAGTATGCACTTAACAGTGCAACGTACCAGCCACACAATCTTTGACACGCTCTGGTACTACTTTTTGGACTTGCATGTACCATAAAACCAATCTATATGTGATTATTCAGCAAAGTGAGTGGTTTACTTTGCTGGTTCACTGTAGTATTACATGGATTACATCTATTAGTAAAATATTTTTTAAAAAACCCAATTATTTTATCTTTCAACTTTCTCAGTGATTTTACAGGTTCTGTATTGCGCCTTGATGTAAATACTGACCTGTGCAATGTCCCTTACTCCGTACCATGGAGCAACCCACATTTTAATAGCACAAACCAACCTCCTGAGATTTTTGCACATGGACTTCACAATCCAGGCCGGTAAGTAAGTCACAGTTAAAACTGAATTACTCTGGAGCAGATACTGTTTTCAACCAGGAATCTTTTATAGAGTGGGTACCAAAATTTTAATACTAAATGCTCTCGTGAACTTTTAAAAAATTCCACTCCTTCACCTTCACACATACATCACAGTCAGAAACAAATGTACATTGGGAAAGGAGAAGGAGAGGAGTGTGCACAACTATTACAAGTCAAGACTGAAGTGACAGAAACAAAGCACAGGATTTTTGTTTTAAACATATAATAAAATTATTACCTTTATGAAAGAAGAAAACTTAAAGCAGAGAGCTGGTAAAGCACAGCTGAGATGGGAGTCCTGATTGAGAAAAGAAGGCATGTGGAAAATAAATGAGAACATCTGGTGATATCTAAACAATAACAAGGAGGAGAACAATGCTTTAACTAAACAACACATAATTCAGCAAATTAGGTGGGTGGTAGTACTGAAGTGACATTTAAAGTCATGGTCTGAAAAAATTCAGAAAGTCAAGTTGTTCAGATAAGGAGTTTTATTCTTGGACTTTTTTAACAGTTCAAAATTCCTACAGCGTGTAAATCAGCTCATTTAGCACTATTCACTTCAGGTGCTATTCAGCAGAGTATGTTTTATCACTAGGAAAAAACAATTTTACTTCACATTACATAAAAAATGGTGCAGGGATGGGAAAGGAATGTTACCTCTTGTATACAAATCTGATGCAGTTTGCAGATATTTTGTCTCAGTATGAATTAGGTCCCTCAAGTGAGAAAGCACCACAAAGAAACAATCCTTCAAAATGTGATGTCATACTATTGATAGAGAATTATACATTATAAACTCACCTATCTCATGGATTTTCTTATATTTTTGGTTTTACAGATGTGCTGTGGACCGCCACCCAACAGATGTAAATATCAATTTAACAATACTTTGCTCAGATTCAAATGGAAAGAACAGATCTTCAGCAAGAATCTTACAAATAATAAAGGGTAAAGACTATGGTAAGTTCCATCCAGGGTAAAGCTGGGAAGATACAGTTTCTATGCCCATGGAATCATACATAAAAAGCAGAAGAAAATTGATAAAGGACTGTATATCCAGGATAGGTAGCTTCCAGCACAGACAGAATAGGTAATGTAAAAAAACTTATAAAAAGTATGGTACAAGCAGATAACAATTCAAGACAAAACAAAATCTAAATGACTCAAATTTTCCTTGTTGGTGTAGAATATAATGTGAATAACACCTAAGAAATATGTCAGTTGCTAGTCTGTCAAAGATCTCACTGTTGCTTCCTATGATGGCTCATAAAGAAGATTTTGGAATATCGGGAATTGATGAAAATGTGTTCTCAGCCATTCACAAATAACCTTTTAAGATACAGAATGAAAACCTCATGTAGTGCACTTCCTATAATGGAAAAAGTGAGCTAGACAACAACAGATCATAACCAAACAGGGAAATGATTGAGCTCTGTTTAAAAATGACAGCCTTAGAAAAATGCACGATGCTGCTGCTTCATAATGAATGACTCATTTAGATTAAATTGCAAAAAGATAAACATACTCAATTAGGGACTTAAAATTTTCAAGTGTTGCATGTTCTCTCTGACTCGATATCATTGTCAGTCACAATTTTAGTTTAATGTTTAACTCTGACACTTGCTAAGGTTGCTTGCTCAGGCAATCCAGGTGACAGTTACTCTGAGCTATCATCTACCTTGGTTGACTGTTCAGCAGCTTGTAAATTCATGGTGGTAAAAGGTGATAGGTACCAAAGGTGTGTAAAGGCATCAAGAACTGGTCTATCTCCTGAAGTGTAGCATTTTCTGGGTTTATTTACATCCCTAGTCCTCCCACCTGTACTTTACTTAAAAGCAAAGCAGTTGTGCTGCCTAGTACAATAGTACACAATAGCGTAATGCAATTGTTCTGCTTTAGTTGTTGCATGTATTTTCTGTGTTCATTTTATAAAAGCCAAACCAAACAGTAATATTTGGTAAACCACTGCTCCAATGGAATTTTGACGGCATCTTTATTGCAGAGTAAACTAAGCAATATTCTGTCTATCCAAAACAGCTTGCCAGTATTAATACTAGGCTCTGGGTCAATTGCTTCAATAGAAAGAACTCATCATCCTTTTCTCCCACATAAAATTTCAGCACTTACTCTTGTAGAATAATCAGAGAAATTCATCTATCAAAGACTTGCAGATAGCCCTCCAACTAAAAGAAGTTCCTATAAAACAAAAAGGCCTATTGGTTGTGGCTTTAACTTAAAATTATGCAGTTAGCATGCCAAGTTGAGCCTACTTTTGCCCTAAGCAGTATTTGATTACATGAATGGGAACATTTCCAGTGAAACTTCCTTGGAGACATTATTTGGTATGACTGAACTTTGAAGTTTTGTAAGAAAAAAGAAAAGGAAAAAAAAAATAAAATGTGTAGGAACTAGCAACTACAACAGCAGCATAAAATAGAATCATAGAATGGTTAGGGTTGGAAAGGACCTTAAGATCATCTAGTTCCAGCCCCGCTGCCATGGGCACGGACACCTCACACTAAACCATGTCACCCAAGGCTCTGTCCAACCTGGCCTTGAACACCACCAGGGATGGAGCATTCACAACTTCCCTGGGCAACTCATTCCAGTGCCTCACCACCCTTACAGTAAAGAATTTCCTCCTTATATCCAATATAAACTTCCACTGTTTAAGTTTTAACCTGTTACCCCTTGTCCTATCACTACAGTCCCTAATGAAGAGTCCCTCCCAAGCATCCTTATAGGCCCCCTTCAGATACTGGAAAGCTGCTGAGGTCTCCACGCAGCCTTCTCTTCATGGTAATAGATTACCATGAGAAGCTATGGCCAGTGATATTAGTGTTTTATGGGATGTAACACGCATACCGTGTTTGAAACTAATTTTGAAAGAGTTTTTCAAACCACTGAAAGGCTTTGAAAACAAATTGTGCTGAAAGTCACTGGAATTTCTGCTCTTAGATACTAGAAGGACTTTAGAGTGAAGGGGGTTTAACTGTATTCCTGAAGTTCCAGAGATCCATTATGCTGACTGTATTGACATATAAAGTTAACAGTTAAAAATTAAAGTTAACAGTAGTAATTACATCAGCTTCAATGAAAGTCCGACCTAATACTTATATAGTTTTATTCCCCCAGCCTACGCACACGGAAGAAAGCAATTACAGCCTCTCCTATCTATATCCCTAACCGATTGTTTCACAAACAGCCTTTGTTGTAATTTTCTGATTTTTTTTCATGTTTCATTTGCAGCAAAACATGTTGAATTCTGAAGAACATTTAAATGGAATTGATCTTTTTTTTGAAGTAATAACATGTTCATAAATGTGAATCAAAATATGATTCTGCATATGATCTAATGCTACGGTAGTTCCTTTTTAGAAAGTGAGCCTTCACTTTTAGAATTCAAACCATTCAGCAGTGGGTCCTTGGTTGGTGGATTTGTCTATCGAGGCTGCCAGTCTGAAAGACTCTATGGAAGCTATGTATTTGGAGACCGCAATGGGTAGGTTTCTTATAACTCACTTTTAAACAAAAATACGTACAAAGTATATTTAGTTATTGAGCTTCCTGTAGAAAGGAACACCAACAGTCTTGTACACTGTGTCACTTTGCCAGTTTAGTGATATGACAGTGCAGATTAAAGTCTAGATTTGGAAATAAAATAGTACAGCATCCTAATGAATGTTGACATAAGTAATGTATCTGATCCTTGGAAAAAAGCACAAAGACACACCACAGCACTCTTAAGATTTTAGTTCTAGAAACACTTAGATGCATCATTTACATTGTGATGGGAATAAATGTTAATTGTGGAACAGTTTCCCAAACAGGTCTAACTGTTAAGACATTGAAAACTTGCTATGGAAACATCACTGATGGAGCAAAGTGAATGGGTGTAGTCTTCCCATGTCAAATAGCTCAGTACTCACAAATGGCTATATAGGGTTGCTTGAACCCAATTTTGTAATGTTTGAATGACAGGAAGGGAAATGCTGTGCTTTTTAAGCATCTGAAAAACTACAGGCAGGGAATCATAAGGTGATGAACCACACAGATGTATCTATGGAGCTACTTGCAGCAAGTGTTTACTTTTTTATCTGGACCTTGAAAACTCTCTATTTAAAATGTAATATAACAGTATGCTTTATGTGTTTTTGAATATAGAAATTTTTTAACACTGCAACAGAGTCCGGCAACCAAACAGTGGCAAGAGAAACCCCTCTGTCTTGGCAACACTGGTTCATGTAGAGGTTTTTTTTCAGGCCCTGTCTTGGGATTTGGTGAAGATGAATCAGGTAAATAAAATAAATAATAAAAAAAAATGTTGTTAAATCATAAGTTTTATTGGTAACGCCTGCTGAACTATTCAGAAACTTTCTCAAAAGCATAGTCAATGTCTGAAATGAAGGAATCTAAAGGCTATCTTTCCTTTGCCAAAGATGTCTATACTGCTTTCAGCTACCCCTTAGCAGCCCTGTAAGAAGAACCAAGAAGAGAATGGGTTGTTGGAAGGGGCAAAGGTCCTTACTGTCTCTCACATTCTGTGAAATGTGTTCCTCACTATGACACAATGTGTCTGTCACATACTGGCTTTTATTCTCAACATTACAGATTTAAGAGACAAAGATACTGCATGAGCAGACCGATCCCCCTCTTGTCCCTTCCTAATTTTATTTTTTTAACCAATTCTATAAATATGAAACAAAACACATTCATGATAAAATGCTTCTCACATTTTAGTATCAACTTGGGAAAGTGCTATTTTGAATTTCCAAATAGCGAGATTCTGTTGTATGTTTCAGTGATGAGTGTTTCTTCTGAAATAGTTTTTAACCTCATCTTGCAAATACAGCTAGATCACAAAAGTCTTGTATTTGACATCTTAGGAAAGAACTAATTTATTGCACTGATTTCTTTAACAGGTGAGATTTACATATTATCAAGCAGTAAAAGTATGACACAGCCTCACAGCGGGAAACTCTACAAGATCATCGACCCAAAAAGGTGAGCATCACTAAAATTAGTCTTTCCTTCAACAGGTTAGAAAACAAAACGTAAATGTAGTTCTTTACATGTAGCTGAATTATGCAGTACTATGCAATTCAGTAAGAAAGGAAATTCTCAATGCAGGAGGCTTCCTAAAAGCAAATGCACCATCATCAGCAAGCGGAACAGATTCAACAGAAGTAATCACTGTCTCACAGAAAGTGAATGTCAGAAGAACAGAGGTGTAAGCAACACTAACTTCTGGAAATTTTTACTCTTCATCAATATCCTAAATGCTGCCCACTTTTCCACCTAGATTCACACTTTTTGCATGCTTTCATAGAAAAGTAGACATATTTAATGTGGAACCATGTGGACCAGCACAGGTAAAACATGCTCCTGGTAGTTCTGAAGCAATTGACTTGTAGGTAACACAGAGGCTAAGCAGCATCAATGGAAGGCAGATGCTAGAATTCTCCGCAGCACTACTACTTCCTTACCTGCCACTGTGGTAGGACAGCGCACAATGAGAGCTGGCTCAAAAGGTCAGTACTGGCTGACAATACCTACTCTGTGTACTGAAAAGCTACTACAGAAAATAATTTCACAGTACTAGACAGCAGACAAGCCATCCCCCGGGAGCGCTAGTCTCACTTCCTCAGTTTCAGTTTTGCAACAGGGACATTGCTAAGGGACAAATCCAGTCTTTCCCAAACATCTCTTCAGTTGTATAGGAGATACCACCAGTGGAGAATAATACAGAGAACTGAATCCTCAGTTGGTGTGAACTGTCACCACTTACAAGGTTTCAGCATCTTTCCATATCCCTGCATTTACCTGTCTCCCTGGGAAGGTTTGGAGCGCCAAGGAATGAAACCTTCTTCTCTTGGACTATGTGCCAAAAATATATTAAATTCTTTAACAGTTCTTAAAGCACCATTTCCAAAAGGCTTATAAATCCCACTCAAGTGGCTTATGAGACATGGAGTTAATATGATTAGCTTCACTATTTAGACTAATTTACTAGTTGTAAAATGAGGATAAATGAAAACTATCAAACCAGACTTTCTTGAGATACAGTCTTTGCAGAGCAGCTACAGCTACTAAAATATTAGGGGATCTGGAAAGACTGCAAAAACCCAGTTTCCGACATGACCCAGGGGCCCCAGCAACAATAAGAGCAGATGACTAGTAGACACTCACTTTCGCTGGAGAAATCCCATTTTCTTCCTGGTGGATCTTGCTGCTCTATCAGACCAATTCTGTAGCATGTAAAGGTACCACATCCATCCTGCAAAAGCATCAGAAATTAACACAAAATGAAGTGGCCAACAGAAATTAAGTTTGTCATATTAGTTGCTTTGACCTTATCATACCCTGAAAAAGCAATTGCCTGTTTGTGCAGCATCTATGTCAGCATGTTCTCCCATTAGCATCAGATAGACTCACATTTTTGAGACTGCTATTGACTGCTTCAGAGAGGAATCTATTTTCCTGTGAGAATTTAAACTCTAAAAATTGTTATTGGGACAAGTAAATAATAAATATGTGAAACAGGATGCATACCGTGTTATAAGTCACAGTAGAGTTTCAGTGTTCTATAATTATACTATCCCAAACTTTTGCAAGTCATTTGGAAGCAGATGTTACTTGCAGGTTAGTGCAGTCTGTCAGTCAAGGTCAGTACGTACGTTTTATTTATGCCTTCTGGTATTAAAAGCATTTTTTTAGAACAAAACTTGCCATTCTTTCTGGGATTGTTTAGTCTGTTGGTGTATGGTTTTAAGTGAATTTTACACCCTAAATCCACTATTAGTATCTAATTACATGGGGCTGCCTTGTTTGACCTCGGCTTTTTGTTCTTGTTACCTCTTCCAGTAGGGTGGTCTTCAGCTGACATACCTGAAAGGCCAGACCTCCCATTGCTGTGCTCACGGTTGGCTGTTCTCATGCATGAAAAAGGGTCGAGGCTGTGTTTGGTTACTAGTGAAAGTAACCAGAAAACTATAAAATACTTCGGTAAATTGGCACACAGTTGAAATTAAACAGACTGTGGCAAAGGGACATAGGTTTTGGTAACACTTTTTAGAAACATGAGATAATTTTCATTCAGGCAAAGTTTTGAGTTCTGTTGTTTTTCAATCTCACACCAATGTAGGCTTTTAAAAGACAGATAGCTACTTCCACAAAAGAGCATTGCAGCTCTATTTACCATTTAATGCTAATTTCACATTGCACATGTAAACAGTTTTAAAATTCCATGGCATTGGCAAATGTTCATGTAATGCTTTGATAACGAAATATTGTTATTCATGCGCTGATATTTTTTGCATACTAATATTGTTGCTCCTTCATGTCTTCCTCATGGTATGTGCCATACAAATATATCAAATATGGGTATAAACCCTAGAAAGCTCTCTAGAACACAAAATAAAGATGCTACAAGTGGGATCAGAGCATCAGGTATAAATAAAGTCATTGAGATACTGATTTGTCACATCTTAGAAATTCATTGCTTGCTAAGAAAACCCTTCACATGTAACAAAAATGAAGCTTAACAATGTTAAGCTGAGGTGATATATAACAAATTGATAAATATGATCAACACAGAGGTTCTGAATCCTTCCATCATCAAGGCAGTTTGAAACATAGAATTCAAGTTACCACAGGAAACTTTTGTTCAGGTCTTCCAAATACTTAATAACTGAATAGCTTCCCCTCAAAAGCACAGAATTAAATAATCCTTCCCATTGTAACAAGGTTCTTAAAATAATACATTAGTACTTTGGAGTTTTTAGACAATGAATCGATAAATCAGAAACATGAAAGTTAAATTGTATGTTAGAAACGAATATGTGAGGTGCTGCAAAGTGCACATTTACTACCATTACCAAAATTCGGTAGAGTGAAGAGGATAGGTAATAGTATAGTTAGCTTTGAGATTGGAGAAGATGCGAGAAACCCTGAGGATTGCAAACACTTAAGACCAGCTTTAGGTAAATTAGTTAAACTAGCAGACAAAAGAAGAATTTCTTAAGTTAAAACTGTGTCTCTGAAAAATATATCTATTCTTTGATGATTATAAAAAAAGTTATCACAAGTAAACTGCTTTCCAGGGTTAGGAACTCATGAAAAAACACAGGGAGAAAGACTTATGTACTTCTCACCTAAAAGGCAGGGCTGCTCATGTCCTGAAGATCAGTGAAAATCCTAGCACTTTATAAATTGTCTTTGTGACCAAAAAAAGAAAACCATTTTATTTTCTGTATTTCTACTTTCTGGTTTATAATTTTTCTATCTGGCTTTCTGTTTCTACAAATACATAATAATATAAATCAAAAAAACATTGATGAATGCATAGGAAAAACTAGGTAAACAGTGGTGTAGAAAATGTGTATAGGTCCAAATATTACAGTTAGTCAATAACGGAGAAAACAGGAGATGAACTCATTAGAAAACAAAACCTTGACGAGAGGAGAAAATCAGCTGTCAACAGTATTAAAAATGTGTATTTAAGTAAGAAAGATCTGTTGATAGGTTCATATCAGCTGTACTTCAAACATTATTACCAGCTGTTCTTGGAAAACCATAGACGGGAACAGACCAAGAAGTATGAAAATAAACTTTGGAAGGTGGCAGAACAGCCATAATGTGGCTTTGTGAGCCTTCTTTTAGAATACTTATACTATGATCACTTTTATCTCCAGGCAAATTCCAGAAAAAATTAAAGAATCAGAGAAGAGTACTCAAATTGATGGACAATGCAAAAGATTTCCATTTAACACCTGAAACTTAGAAAAGTTTATAGTGCTGTATAGTTCTGTGAAGTTTTGTGTGCCGCGGTTGATACAGTGATTCCAAAGGGAATAATTCTTTTGCTTGGGATGGCTCACTGGAGCCAGCAGGTGATTTTTATGAAAGGGGGTGTATCTTAAGTGTCCTTGCACACTTAAGATTTCCTCTTCCTCTCCTTCTAACACCTTACAGGTCTGGATTTCAGTATGTTTCATATCAGCAGCCAGAATAGCTGCTTTCCATTGGATTGAAACTTGAACTTGATGCAAACCACCTCACTCCTCTTTCATGCCCCCCCAAGAGTATGTAATTCCACTTATCATCCTTTCCATCATCACCTTCTGGGATTTCCGCTATCAGAGAGTATTTCCAAACAGACTGATTTCAGACACTAAGGGACAGTATCTAGGTCATACCTCATTTTGACATTGTTCGGGCTCTTTACAAAAACACTGGTGGTTTTATTTTTTAGTATGAATCTAGAGTGTTTGATGATATGATAGAAGAATAGCATTTATGAAAGCATAGCCCTCTTCAAGACTTTAATTACTATGGAAATGGAAACACAGAAATATACAGTATTAGACTAATCTGCATCAAGATGCTCAGGTCTGATGGGTTATGGATACATTCTGAAGCTACTACTGGAAACTCTCTGTAGAGTGAGCCAATTCTGTTGGTGAATGCTCTCATCAACCCAGGTGGGCCATATGATTTCTTTCTGTTCAGAAAGTTACTATCCCTTAAATCATTTGAGGGAATGGAAAGCCAGAATTAATGTCTAATGATGTTTAGTTTAGCCGGAGCATGCAAAATTCTTATCTCATTTACCTTACCCACATGCAGTTACTATTCCCATAAGAGACACTAAAGAGAAATTAGAGCTTTTTGCGAATACCAGTCTAGAGAGTTTCACTTTACAGAAGTACTTCACAAAAACTCCTTTGTGACCACAATGGAAAAACCTAAGGATTATTTTCAATCACATCACAGCTCACTGACTGTAAAAGTTTTTGTTTTGGTTTGGGATTTTTTTTCTCTCCCCCCTTTTTTTTAGGCTTTCTAGCATTGGCTATTAAGGAGTTCTCACTTTTTATCACTTTATAAGGAAAAAACAGCTCAGTTTATCTTTTGCTTATTTTCTGGAGCCTGCAGGAAGCCTCTGCCATCCTAAAGAAAGTCACACATAATAGAGCAGCTTTAGCCCAGTAAGCCAGTCTTTCCCAATTCATCAGTCAAAGTGTTATGCAAGTGGCCCCCTAAATTGATAAATTCCCACAGTGCCTGTTGACCCAGCTGCCAAGTGCTCATGCAGCAGGTGTTGTTTTCATGACCACCCTGACAGTAATACAAACTGTTTAGCAGTTGCGTTGACCTCTTAGCTATTAACATTGATACAGGCTTCACTAGGGACTAGTTTTCAAACATGACAGAATTTCTTAAGACTAGAGGTCATGAACAAGTATACCATATAAGAATAAATTTGATATGCTGCTGAGTTTAAATCTTAAAAGCCAGGTTTTTTTTCCACATTATTCCCATGTACTAAATCTGGAGACAAGTAATGAGCTTTTGGCATCTCTCCCAGGACTAAAGGTATACTTTTTAATTTTAGAAGCTGTACCTGAAGAGATGCTATATTTATTCTATGACAAGTAGTAAATTTAGTCTGTGACAAGTAGTGAAACAAAATTATTTTTTCTTGACATTTTCCCTTATAAAGGAAAAACCCAAACAACTAGTGCACAAATTTTGGTGGTATACTTAAGCATCATTCTTACACCTAATATCCTGTGAGCAGTTAATTGAAGCATAACATTCTTTCCTTATATTTTTATCACAATCAGGATTTCTATGGCCATGACCTTTCTTTGATTGTGAAAATCCAGGAATTTTGTTTGGGTTTTTCTCACTTTACTGGAAGAAAAGGAGATTTTTGATATTGTGTCAAAGGTACGAAGGAGGAATTGTTTTCAGTACCATTGTATTACTGCTGAATTTGACCCTCCATTTGCATTGATTTATGTATGTCTGAGTTACAGGCAAGCACATATAGCAACTGAATCACTGCATGCACTTAGTGGAACTGTGAAGAGATGCACTAAGGAAAAGCATGAAATTCTAAGCAGTTCCAGCGTGAGTTTCAATCTATTAAAGCATGTTAGACTTGTATGTGCCTCTAAACTAGCAGTAGAAGCTACTTTCTTACACTAGCTAGAGTAATGCAGCAAAAAATATTTTACACATCCTACAGCCAAGAATTCCCAGCTCACTGCACTCGTCAGCAAAGGGACCCAGCAAGGGCCCCAGCCCCCAGTACAACTTTTCCTCCATGTTCCATACATTTAGAGTTGTTATACAGTTTCATGAAAGCATGTTTTAACAAGCAAGATATACTGTACCGTACTGTATATATGAACAGCTCTTTAAGATAACTAGAATTGTACAGACCGTGTAAATAGTCATTATCAGCTACATTTTTGGCTGACTTTCTGCGGACCAAGTAATGCTTACTGTAAGAGTAATCCAGCTGTACCCTTTTGAGTTTTATAGATTGAGGGAGACAAGAAAAAAATTCTCTCCAGCCCACAATGTGGCTCCATCTAGTCCCCTCCATTTTCCACATCAGGAGACACAGCAAAGCACTAGTTATATAAACAAAACCATAGGTTTGTCTAAGTGCTGGAAAGATCAGGTCCCAACAGTCAGTTTGAAGACTTATATTATCTTTGTGAGATTCAGTTCAACTTACGCTAAGCTTGAAAATTTCCACCCCTTTAAAACCTTAGGAATGCAAAGTGCAAGTATTGTGGGGCAAAGATGTTCTCTTGATACATATTGGTACCATAACAACATTCAAATCCTGAAAGAGAAGTGTGGCTTTTCCCATAGTACAACCAAGGAAAGCCACACTCCTCACACACAAGGATTCTGCTGCAGCTGCATTTGTATTCCTCTTTCCTAAGGCACTCTGCCAACCAGAATTTTTTCCATCTTTGTATTTACTCCACCCCACCATTAATAAATATTACCTGAGGATGATTAGAGATTGATGGTAGAATAAAAGGGGCAAGGTTATATTCACAAGTACCAAGAGCACTAGAAAACTTCAGATCATAAAAGTGACCAGCCATGCTTGGCTGGATACAGAAAGTGTTATTTCTACCTCCTAACTTAAATACAAATAATAAAAGAACCATATATTCCAACACTATTCATAAAATAAATTATCTTTACAAATAAAATATCTGTGTGACTGATGAGGTCATTCTTTGCTAAAGATATGCCACTGGAGCTCTCTTCCAAGAGATGCTTCAGGAGCCTGAGGTTATGCTTCCTGCTAAACACAGTACTGTACTTGTTTTTGAGCAAGAAAAAGGTTCCCATTTAAAACAACTTGAAAGAAATGGGCTTTAACAGAGACAGATGGAGAAAGAATGTTGTCTCCTCTGCAGTTGGCTATAAAGAAATCACTTCAAATTTAAATTTTTCTTTTCTTTCCAGAGGTAGGAATGAGAAGAAAGATCTCTTTATATTTGAAAAAGGCTCCACTGAAAATCGTATCATTTTGTAGAACTGTTTCCCAAGGAGTATTGCCTGTGAATCTCACAATTTTTAAGTGTAGGAACTTTCTTAACCATTACTACAGAACTGGAATTTCTTACAGGTCAAAACCCTAATGCATTATATTTAAGACAGCTGTGGAAATATGTAAACATAAAACCTGAAAGGGTTTCAAATATGCTGCATGAAGGGTGTCAAAATGTTTCAAAGCCCTTAAATAATACAGGACCTTAAGTCTGATTTTCAGAAATGCTTTTGAAATTTTGCTACACAAAAGATGCATCTGCACATTCTTTATGTCCTTAACATCTTTGGGGAACCAGTTATTCTGTATGGATGTTTAAATAGTCATGGTAGCAATTAAGACTGAGCAGAGAAAGTGCTACAGTGGAGCAAACTAGTGAGCCTGTACTCTACTACTGTGTTTCAAAGACAAATGCAAGAAACCGTGTAATGTACCATTAACAAGCTGTATGCCAAAATGGGTGGGTGGGGGAGAATATAAACCCAGTCAGCTAGTTAGGGACTTCTATAACATTAGGTATGAGCACTTATTTTTCTTTAAAATTATTTTTATTCTACCTAATATTACTTTGAATGGTCCCATTGTGCATAGAAAAATCTTTGTAAAACCCTACTAGAACATGGGCTTCATTGGTATCTTAGAAGCCACAAGTTCAACTAGTCAATTTTTTCCCTCAATTTCTTATGATGTTGAAACAGCAAGAATGCCCAATTTCTCTTGTCTTTTTCTGTCACTATTTTCCACACCTCCATCATACCCCATCTTCAGACTTCAAAGACTATGCTTTTCTCCCCATAGGATTATCAGTCTAGGATTTTAATATTTGACAGTATAATCAGTGCATCAGCTGCAGTATCAGCTATTTGCATATAATTGGGGGTTTAATACTGATGTCAGCATAATGAACAATGTTATTTTCTATTCTATTTCTATCTCATACAATTTTGCTTTGGTTTGTTTAGATTCTAGCTGGACACTTAGCCATGGTTTCTCTGAGCTCTCCACAAAACTTTTAAAATCTTCGTCCTGCAAATTTCAAGCTTAGGAACGTATGGCAGTAGTTCAGGTTATTTACTTGAGAATAAAAAATTTTGTATTTGTCACTAATTAACTTAATTTGCCATGATGCTTCCATTCAATTACTTGTTTAGATCTCTTAGGAGATCCTGATGCTCTTTTCAAAACTTACCCCTGTGCAATCAAACCTACAGCAGAGACAAAACATGGTACCTCTACCATGAGCCTATATCCTTGTGATGATCCTATCAGTCTCTAGCTGCTGAACTCAGACAGCAAATAAGTGGCCCATATGATGATATTACAGCTAAATTAAAAACAAAAAACCTCTAAACAATTAACATCTAAAATGCATTGGAAGTCTTATCAACAGTTAGAGCATGCTCAGGTTAAAATACTTAAGTATTTTACACACTTAACACTACAGAAGGAACACTACAGTTGCTACTTTGTTAAGGAAGATAATGCTGTGCTTTTGCAAATAAAAAAGGCTGGATATCCAAAATAATTTGTAGACATTGACAGAAAAAATTTGCATTATTTTAAGACTTGATACCAAGAAGCCCAGGAAAAAACAGTATCAGAAATATTCTGTCAACTGAACTACAATTTCCTTCATACATGCATTTCACAGAAGCACCCGCAGAATGGCTGAGGCTGGAAGGGACCTCTGGGGTGTACCTGGCCTGACACCTGTGCTCAAGCAGGACCACCTAGAGTCAGTCGTTCAGGACCATGTCCAGACAGTTTCTGAATATCTCCAAGGATGGAGACTCCACAACCTCTCTGGGCAACTTGTGCCAATAGTGAAAGAGTTTTTCCTGATGTTCAGGTGCTTCACTAAGCATCCAGAATGCATAATCCAAATATGATTTCATGACAATATGGAAATTAAATATTTGCTGTGTCAAACTGAACTCATAGACAGAGGCAATACATTTGTGAAATTACTATGCATGCCATAATGTGTGTGACATAAAACCTGCCGTTCAGATTACTCTTCCCAGGATACAAACAGACATATAAATCAGCAAGAAAAGCAAAATGACACCATCAGGTTCTGGACTGAATTATATGACTATTTGTGCTCGCTGAAGAAATTGCACACAATCGGTAGATTTTAGCATGTCTAATAATGATATTATCCAGAGATATATGCTGCCTGTGATAAGGTCTTCAGGAAGTTTGTTTGCCAGGTTTATGTTTTAAGAACTCTCAAGGACTGTTATCTCATCTTGTAGACCTCTGAAGGCAGTTATACGAAAGAACAGAAAATCACACTGTACTGTTCTTTAACGTAACATGTTATGCCTACATTTCCTGGTGTTTTTGAGAAAAAAAGCAATCCTCTTAGAACTGATTTCTCCCACTGATAGTACAATAAAAGACACTCAGGCCTGTAATAACAACCCCAAAGCCTTTCTTATTGACCCCAACTTTTAACTGTTTGGTTCATTATTTTTTTTCAGGCCTTTAGTCCCTGAAGAATGCAAAAGAACAGCTCAGCCTGCACAGATACTGACATCTGAATGCTCCAGGCATTGTCGGAACGGGCACTGTACTCCCACAGGAAAATGCTGCTGCAATCAAGGCTGGGAAGGAGAATTCTGCAGAACTGGTGTGTATACAGATTCATAGCAATAAGTGAAAAAAAACCCATAATATGGTATAAATTGTTTTTAATTATTTGCTGAGAGAAATTTTCAATGTATGTCACTGACCATCAGTTCTAAGGCAATGACAAAGTAGTACCGATTTCATGAGCTGTAGGAGAACTGTAAGTTTGGATGAGTGCAACAGTTAAAACATTTAATGCAGTGTGAACCATTATAGAATGCAATTAATAGCATACATATGACAGACAAAAGTATTATTTTTTTTCACCAAGAATGTCCAATGAAAGGAAATGCAATCAATACATGTTCCCTGTTTGGACACTAAGCTTTCACCTGCAGTATTATCATTGTCAGTGGCATATAGGAGTCCCTTGTCAGGAAAGGTGAGAAATCAGACGTTCAGGTCACTATTGCATATTTTGCACTTTGCTAAGGTAATGTAAATACTTAATTTTGGTACATCCTTACTTCTGATACTACAGAATAAAATCTCTCTAGCTTGTTAATGAGAATTCTGTGTAGAAGTTATCACAAAGCAGCTAATAACCAGAACATTACTGTAATCTGTTATTAATCACAGTATATTAAGTCCTATCTTGTTGCCATAGTGTAACTTTTAAAAGTCACTTACTTGAAAAAGTGACTGTAATCAAACTAGGTGTTGGATATGACACCAAAGGGGTGAGACGAATGAACGTGCAGTGCCAAAGCTGTCCTATCGCTGTCTCACAGAACCCGTGGTTATGTCTGAGTGGTATAATTCTGGCCTATGCAGGTCTTCCAGAGCAAGCCTGGGTACCAGAAGGTACTATTAGTGCACTATTGTGGTCTTCTGACTGAGCGTGTTTGCCCAGTGAGTTTATGCCAATACCTATACAAAGAGATAAGGTTAACATAGTGGCAGTAGAACTCAAGTGTAAAAGAATTACAGAGTAAGAGTGTAAATTTCAGCAATCTCCTGGTTTCTAGTGATGAGCAGGAGTGACTTTGGAATTAAATTAAATGAAATTAATTAAATCACTCATGATATACCATACTGGCAACATTCATGAGTTGATCATCATGCAACTGTGCAACAAAAGAAATAGATGAGGTAATCTGATCAAATAGTGCAACTTTGGTTGTCCTCACTCATCGGTCAGAGGTTTCCTGCATTTAGAGAATGAGGCTCATTCTACAGCCCCTGTTCAAGTGGAACTTAAAAGTAAAAAAGATCTCCAGTGTGGCCATAAATGGGTCTTGAATAATCTGGCTTGTTTAAAAAATTACAGCTCTATGTTAGATGATTTAATAAACGCAATGTACAAGAAAGCTACAGAAAATACATAGACTGTATCCCACGCAACACTTACAGGGATGGGGCAGCCACATCTTTTCTGGGCAACTTGTCCCAGTGTTTCACCACTCTCACAGTAAAGAATTTCTTCCTAATGTCTAATCTCTAAAAATCTCTAAAATCTAAAATCTCTAAAAAATCTCTAAAACTACTCTGGTTCTTTTCTTCCTAAAGGAAATTCAGTTCTGCTGCACACATAAGTTATTCAAGAGCCAAAGGAATGTACTTCTGTGGTCAATTGTAGTCTGCTCTGCAACGGACAGCATGTAGTGCAGAACTCTCTGTGTGTACAAAGGAGCTGACCTGAGATTTAGTACTTGTTAGACTGGAGATGGTCAGGTACTAAAGCATCTCAGCAATTTCAGGGCTTCTTGTGTTGCTAGCATAAGAAATGGGATAAGTTAGACAACCACTGTTTAAAGATCAAGATGTGCTGCATGTCTTTTTTTTTTAATGATATAACATCTGGAGCCCAAAGCCTTTTGAGCTGGGTCTTCCATGCACTCCAAAATCAAGCATGAATATAGGAATTGGACTTTTTCAAAAATCTATTTGAGTTTCACAGTCTATCCTGGGTGACGTCCTCTCAGACATACAAAATTACTTCCTCCCCCTAACAGTCTAAACTTTAAAAAATACGCTTTCAAAGCTGGTAATATTTCATCCTTTTCAGTCTGTTTTTTAATTTATATGCTTTATCACTTTAAGTTTAGAAAGGCATTAATGAATATGTACTGTATATTTTTGGTTTGTGGTGCTCCAAACAAACTAGAAAATCACTGTTTTTTACCCACAGCAAAATGTGACCCAGCCTGTCGACATGGAGGTGTCTGTGTAAGGCCTAATAAATGCTTATGTAAAAAAGGCTATCTCGGCCCCCAGTGCGAACAAGTGGATAGAAACATCCGAAGAGTGACAAGGGCAGGTATTCTTGATCAGATCCTAGACATGACATCCTATTTGCTGGATCTAACCAGCTATATTGTATAGTTTCTGGGACTATTTGGAAACTACACTTTCAACGGGCATTTGTTTTGAATCCTGTCATTTCTAAAAGACTCTTGTCCTGCAACAAATACCGGTGATTTGATTTACTTTATTAATTTAAGTATAATATCCACAAATGTGCAGGTAAATTCTTTGCGTATGTGTCAGTATTTCTGTACGTCTCCCCAGACGTACCGACTGCCAATATGTGTGCACATACACAGGCACGCACTATCACAAATGCGGTTTTAAGGCTAGTGGAATTTTTTTTAATATTTATTTCTTCATGAGGAATAGTTTACGAAGTAATTCCACTGTAAATCACATTTCTGTCAAAGGACTTTTCGTGGTGTCTTAATGGATTCTCTGACATCCCAGAAATCTCATGTCTGTACCTATCTGATTATGGCGATGAGAGAGCAGTTTTCAAACACCGCTGTGTAAGCTGCTGCTTAATAAAATCCAGTTGTAACGGTTTCTAAGGTGAACTGAACTCCATCATGAGACAATATTTGAGAACTCCTTAATGCATTCCTATCGAGGCAATTCATTGTAAGACTGTAACCTTCACCTTCATCAATGTAACTCTATTACAGAATGTTACGCATTTCTTTATCTAGCATAGATGCAAAAATCTGGTTATCGCAGCTTAATATCAAGATTGTTTCAAGTGTTTAATAATTAAATTATATTCGCATATTTCAAAACCAGTCATCCTAGAAGGTCTGCTTTTTATCATATATTTTATTTAACGATGGGCACTGGGTTCATGTTACATATTTATATTATTTTATTTTATTTTTATAATATAGACATCACCTAGATGAGACAGCTTTACCATATCCTGTAAAATACTAAAGTTACATTTTTCACCAACTTAATTGGAAAGACGGGGAAAGAAAGAGCAATCACACTCTTTAATGTGTTGTGGATCTAATCTAGAAATGTACCCTTGCGTCAACTTGTATTCATTTACGACGGATGGAAAAAACAACTGCCAACCAATCATAATAAAATTCCAGCATATGTTAAAAGTGTTCATAAAGTGATTCCCACCGTAACAGGCCAGGCCAGACTATACACAAGTAGACTGCTGCCGATTTCACGTTGAATGGAACATCCCTGGATGAGAGCTCACATGAGCACATTTTGGCTGTGTAAGATGTCACTTGTACAAAACGTATAATGATTCTCACCAAATGCAGTTTTAAATGTAAATGTTACTTGAAGAGCTAACGTGAAATTGAGTCTTTGTAAATGTATCAATAAATACAGGCACATGCTATAGTCAGGTTTTCTAAAGTATTCCCAGACTAAGTAGATGTATCTTCAGAATTGGTGCCCTCTTTATCTTCAGCTCTAGGGCATTACTGGCAGTCTCTTTGCTCACTACTTACCAACTAACAGATTTTCTTTGCACCACCTGGCTGTTACAAAATCATGCCTATGAAAAGAAAGCAGAGTAGCCCCAGTGTGCACATCCTATGGTTCTCATAAGCAGCTGCTCATTTGTCCATGATTTACAACACTTTAGGCAATAAGATCTAAAAGGCTTTAGCCATATTACTCTCCGGTAGTAAAGTTACCTCTCTAGAGCAGTGACATGCCATGCATTTTCCTTACAGAAAGTTGTCAGTCTTCATTTAGCACATATTAAATCTTAAAGTACAGCATAACAGAAAGTTGCATTTCCCTGTCTTAGGCATTCCAGCTCAGAAGAACAGAAAATTACATTTGCCTTCCATATATGTTTGCCTGGGTTTTGAGTGACCTCATGCCAAATGGAAATTGGTCGAGAAATCTTGGTTAAGTGCTCAGCGAACAATGGCCTGCATTAAAAAGTGCATGCATAATTTTGCACAATGTAGATTCAACTGACAGTCCATTGAAAGACATCTTGGGATTAAATGAGCATGAAGACCAAATTGCCCTCTCACCCCAGAAAAGGGTGGTCCCTTATAGTCACATGAACACTTCATTGGCTAAGCAGTGTGACCAATCTTAAAATGAACCCCACGGTAGCATCTGTAGGTTAATAGCAGCTCTTTGTCTCCGCTGCTTTCGGCCTTTAGTCTTTTCCCTGAATTCCATCACAAAAAGTTTTACAATTAAAAAATGTCCTGACAACCATTTTTGTAAATTGACCTTAGCATCTAATCTTTCCTTATTCAGTGTGGGTGACAAAAATGTGAACTTCTCATGAATGAGCCAGCTGTCTAAATCTGTCACATAGCACAGTTTTATTACACTCTTCATAATCGGCAAAGCAAGAAAGTCACTGAAGTATTTTAGCAACGTTTAAATATCTGACAGAGATAATATCTTTAACACTTTCTTTAATGAAATACATTTTAAAATAAACCCAACTTTACCTCCACTGTGACGCATTATTTTCAACAGCTGGGGAGATGTGATAGTTCTTTTCTCACTGGTTAGTTCCTAGAGACTTGAAAAGATCCCCAGGAATATATATGCCATAGTCATGTAGAGAAGGGATAACCATGATGTTATAGATTTGATCTTAATAATAAGGACAATTTAGTTTACTAGTGAAATCAGAAAATAGGACTCCAGTAAAAGCTAAGAATTAAATCCATGTGTCATTTAAATCAATGGGAAAACACTCGTATAGGTTGTGCCGCACTCAGAAAATAGCTTTTAAGCAAAATACTTTGGCTTATTAAAAAAAAAAAAAAAAAAGAATTTATGTTTGAGTCATTCCACCAAAGCTTCAAACCTAAGAAGTAATCTAAGTGAAGATTAGAGGGAGAGGGGAGACAGATACTTTGTGGAAAGTGTTTTGCTTCATTTTTAAATCATCTTTTAAATCATGTGAAAGCAAGCCTCTGCAGTAAGCCCACATGGGTACATAGGAAGTCCCAGTGGAAAAGAAGTATTCTCAAAAAAAAAGACACAAAAACTCCTAGCTGCTTATTTATCAAAAGAAATTACACTATTAAAAAGAGTGAGCAAACCCCAGGCCCAGCCACCCAAGATGCTGATATAAAAAGGGCAACTGCAGTAATTGCCCTGAGAATTGGCATACAAAACAAAAAAAAAAAGGGTCTGTAGAAAGCCTGTTGCCAGTTAGGTCATTCTGCAGCCATTCTCACACAGCCTCCGAGAGTGTCCCAGAATAAAACTGAGCTTATAAATGAAACTAGATAAATGAGGCAATTAGATAAGGGCCTCCAGAAGGGACTTTATGTATGTGTTCAAGTTGTCTCTGTCTCTCTCTCCCCTAATCTTTTATTCCATTCATTTCTTCCTTTATTCAGAAATACTGCCTCTCTGTTCCCAACACATTGTACATTTCAAGCATTCTTTGAGGCTTTTTACTGTTAAAAGAGAACAAACATACCTGTTGCAAGAAACATAACTCTATTGCTGATGCCTGCTAGTTTTCAACTCTCATTTTATTATTCTGAGACATAAAACCTTCATCCTTCTCTTTTTAAATGCCACTGATCAGAAAGAAGGCATACTATTCGAATATAAGAAATGTTTTTACCCCATAATTAAGTAGGGAGACAAAAATCAGCTCCAAATTGTTTCACTCCATTTCAGAAAAACAGTAAACTCATTTTTCTAATGTGTCCAATAAGAAATACTAACTCAAACTGCTCCCCCTCAAGGAAATAAGTCCCTTCCGTTAACAGTCACGGACACAGACACAAGCCCTTTGTACCTTTAAATCCTCACAGGTTATTATATTTCATGCAAACAAAGTACAAGTTAGGTATAAATAACTATCACCAACATGGCACCTCTGCTTATCTCCTTCCTTCATTCACTTCCCCACATTTCGGCTTTGCAGCTCCTTCCTTTTTAAAACCATAGCAAATGTCTATAATCCCTGGTTACTGCAGGTGATGCTTATTAATTTTGAAACTGCCTAATACATTTGTGCATCAAATAGGCTTCCCAGCAGGCTGGGTTTTTTTCCTCCTGATCATTCCACAGAGCTTTGTTATTTTATAGTGACTTCTAAGACTGTACCTTAGTGTGGACATTTACAGATCAGGAGTTTACAGCCTCAAGCAGCTCTGCCTCAGGATGCTCAGCTCATACTAAAGCTGAAAGAAGGGAGAAAGCACTTGGTCACTATACAGTCACTATGCTGATCAGAAAGTTACCAATTTCAATCCAATAATCAGATGCCTGAAGCAAAAAGCAGAACAATATTCCTAGGATGATAAAATATTGCTTTTCAGTATACACTTTCTCTAATTTAGGGTTAGAAACAAGGCCATTTCAGGTATAAATATGCAAAATGGAAATTCTGAAAACACTTATGAACAAGCAATTTTTCACAGGTGTAAAGTCCCATTAAGGTAAAAATAAATATTTGTACATGTAATTTTACTTGCATTTATAAAATAGACAGTTATAAGATTCAAGCCATAAGGAAAAGACAAATCCAAGGACATCCTGCTCTGCTTGTTTTCCTTAATTACGCAAATCCTTTAAAAGACATTAATGCATTTTAATTTACTATCCTGATACACAGATATACTAAATTTAACTGTGTATCAGTTTAATTAGGAATTATACCATTTGATCTTCTGTCCAACTTTAAAAAGTGATCTTTGTCGCAGAAAAAACAAAAAGTCATGAATTAAATAAAAACTAATTTTTCCCATTTACAATGTTAGAATTGACCAACATTTTATTTTTGTCATTAAAAAAAACAAACAAACAAACAAAACCACCAGGAAAAAGCCCACAAACATAAGAATCTCATCAGAAGAGCAACCAAAGCTTTAAATTTATTCTAACCCAAACTTGCAGAAAGTATGTACTAAGTAATCTGGATTCTGGCTACAAAAAAATCTGATAAACATTTCCATAAGTAGTTTCAGGGCAGATGTTGTAGAAACATTGAGAAAAGTTAAGCCTGTTTTGCTAAAATGTTCATTGTTTTCAACAGCAGAGTATTTCAGTGGAATAAGACACGTGTACTTTTTAGGGTATAGGTGTAAGACAGCAGAAGCCACCTGAAAGCTTAGTACAGGATTACTTTAATCTTTGACGGCCTGACTCCAAGTCCATTGATGTCAACTGAAAATCTCCTCTTGACTTCATTAGTTATAGGATTAAGTCCTTAAAAGATATCCACTCTAGTTGGCAGAAGATCTCAACTTCAGACATCAGTACACACATGACCTCTCTGGGTCTGCATCTGCAGTCATTAGACACGCCAAGGGTTTCTGGAATAAGACTGCAGATTCAGCCCTGCATAAAGCCTTACTGAGTATATCCTACTTAAAGATGTACAGAGCATATCCAAACCTCTTGGGTTGCCTTATAGTACTGCCAACAGTTATACAAGGGGTCTATTAACTCAGCCAGGCTTCTTGATACTTGTTCAATATTGAGGAATTAGCTTACATTTTTCTCTTTCACACATATATATGCTTATTTCAAATATGTAAGCATATGCTACTAAGCAGTAAATTAAAATACCAAGTCAGTTGTCCCATTTTCTGAAATAGCCATAGTAAGATGGCACCCAAAATTGCCCCCAGAAATTCTCACAAGCATTCACAGAAGGGTTCCCGCAACTGTTCTGAGTCCAGTATCACAAAGGCTGATTTCAGCAGCTAGGCACATTTTCAAAATCTTTCTTCCTGTATTTAATAAGGATTGTGTAACATTTCAATCAAGACTATATCCTAATCCAAAAATGTTGTTGTCACCCTTCCTAATA